CAGTGGTGCTAAATGAACACAACATACAAGAAGCACAATATATAATACTGGATACAGATCCAAGTGTATAGAATGTTCACAACATACAAGTGTGGCAACCTCACTACCTTCCTAGACTAGACACATCAGCTCAACACCTGCCATGGGAACCAGACTTTGGGAACAGGGAATAGATATAACAAAGACAGGAAACTGCAATAAAATTGCTGCGAATGGGTCACTTTGTTCTTGTTTGCATACATCTGGGCTCAGCACAAGTTCCTGTTGAACATCATGGCCTTTAATTTTTGTGCACCTTCACATGTACCACCTGAGTCCCAGGGTATGGTTGTAAAACACATGGTGCAGCCAATCTGCTGAAGCTAAGCAGATATACAGCTGATGAGTACTAGGACAGATTTCCTGGGAACCTTACATACCCCCTTCGAAGTTATATTATGGAAGAAACGCAGGATACAAACAAAAATTAAAACAAGGACAATCCTTCCTCTTCTTGCATCCGATTTAACGAGCTCTAGCCCAGAAAGCTTATGCCACAATAAATCTGCCAGCTCTAGCCCAGAAAGCTTATGCCACAATAAATCTGCCAGCCTTTAAGGTGCCACAAAGACACCTTTCGGGAATACCAGTTGTTTGCTTCTCAATACCAGGAGTCACTATTAATAAGTCATGACTCGACAAGGAAGCCGCACCAGAGCACACATTCATTTTATGGAAATAACTGTCAATTAGGGAGCCCCTTTTTAAAAACTCTCCGAAACGTTTTGACTAGGAACTGCAGGATTTGCGCAAAAGACTACTAAGCAGTCAAGAGCCTCAGTCTGGCCCTTCACATCCCCACCACCACCAGCAGCTCTGTTATACAACGACATGATAGAGGGTCAAGACACTAACCCACAATCCACAGGCAAAGAAGCCTCAAGAGGCCAAACTCCCAGGCTCCTTCCGAAAGTATACCTATGATTACAATGTTCCCTCTAAGCTGTGGGGTCTTGTGAGCAAAAATTCTACTCTGTGAGCTCCTGGCATTAAAGTCGTGAGCGAGCGATTTGGCTGCTGCGTGAATTAGACTGCTCTGGAGCAATGTTCCCTCTAAGCTGTGAAGTCTTGCGAGCAAAAATGCTACTTTTTGTGAGCTATTGGCATTAAGGTTGTGAGCGAGCGATTTGGCTACTGTGTAAATCCAGTTTGCCCTGGAGCCCTCCTTCCTGAGCCAAGACAAAAATGTGTGAGCCGGAGTCTAAAAAACCGTGAGCTGGCTCACACTAACTCAGCTTAGAGGGAACACTGCTCTGGAGTCCTCCTTCCTGAGCCAAGACAAAAATGTGTGAGCCGGAGGCTAAAAAAACTGTGAGCTAGCTCACACTAACTCAGCTTAGAGGGAACCCTGCCTATGAACCTTAGTCGCCGTTCCCGAGGAGGGGGGGAACCCTCAGTACCGTCACGGCAGAGTCAAAGTTATTATGACACCGCCAGGAACCACAGGCACTCCCCTCGGCCCCCTTCCCGAAATACCCGCCCCGCCGCGGACTCTCGCCCCACGGCCGGTCCTTCCCACGCACGCCGCCAAGTTCCGCTCCCCGTGCCCCCCCCCAGTGCTCTTCTACGAATCCGAGGGGGATCCAGCCGAGCGGACGAGCTCCAGCCTTCCGTTCGCCCTTCTGTCTCCAGCCGAGCGCTGGCCGGGGAAGGCATTTTCTCCGCAGCGCTGAACAAGCCGAGCCCAGGGCCGGACGAGCGCCCTTCGAGCCCCCCCACCCCACCAATGTTCCCTCTAAGCTGTGGAGTCTTGTGAGCAAAAATTCTACTTTGTGAGCTACCGGCATTACATTTGTGAGCAAGCTATTTGGCTACTGCATAAATTAGTTTGTTCTGGAGCCATCCTTTGTGAGCTAAGACAAAAATGTGTGAGCCGGAGGCTAAAAAACTGTGAGCTAGCTCACACTAACTCAGCTGAGAGGGAACACTGCACCCCACCCCCGGCCCTCTCCTGCCGAAAGGGGGGTGGGTGGGAGCTGATAACACCAGGCGCCTGCCTAAGAGGGGAGGGGGAGAGAGAAGCAACCCACGACCGGGTCACGCAGCACGCGGAGAAAGCGCCCCCGCCTCATCCCCCAAACCCGACAAGGACCCCCTTTTCGTTTCGTCCAGGTGTCACACCTCCCCAAACCCCTCCCTCGCCCCCCGAGCAGCGGCCTCCCTCCCCCCGGGGCCTTCCTCCCTCCCT